CCCATAGCTGACCTTCCAGCAAGTTTTCAGAGGTTGTTAATCACATTGGAGGAGGTCTGTTATTTTCCAAGTATTTAGAATTTTTTCCCATATCTTTTTATTTCTTATTTCTATTTTAGTCTCTTGCGATCAGAGTACAGTTTATATTATTTCAATCTACTTATGTTTGTTTATTATTAAGACTACTCTTATTATTCATAATGACTTAATTTTTCTTTAATTTTTTTATTCATTTTTGCATTTTTTCTTCCCCCACCTCCAGACTACCTCACAAATATATTCCTTCCAGATTGTTGTTTCCCTCATCTGATCTAATGTTCATTATCTATCCACTCTTTTTTTCATTCTCTCTCTAAACCCCCCATGCCAGTCCAGTTCTGTGACAGTATTTGTCCTTTTGTGACTGAGATATTTCACTCAACATAATGTCCTCCAGCCTTCCCCATGTTGTGGAATGTTTTACAAGTTCACTGTTTTTCAAGGAATATGACTTATAATGCTTTAAGTTGCATGTAACTTGAAAAATGTGGAGTACTGTCACTCAGGGGTGATGGTAGTAGTTTAAATGTCAGATTGATAGTGCTGTTCTGGTCTTCTGTAACATTGCTGATACATTTATTAGGTTTTTTACTTGCTGTATAAATGACTACAATAAAACCACTAAGAAAGAGTATGGAAATTACTGCCTATTTCTCCTCCAGCTTCATGAACTTTGAAATTCTATTATAACTCATTTAATGTGGCTATGCCTTTTTAGTGAATAAGTTTATCAAACATTATGATGTATTTTCAAATACATGCACCAAAAACTAGAGCTAAGAAGGAAGAAATAGAAAATTTCTACCAGCTTTTGCAGTCAGAAATCAGTTGAACATGTGATCAATATCAATATGCATTAATAATAATGGATGACTGGAATGTAAATGTTAGAAACAGGGAAGAAGGATTAGTAGTTAGAAACATGTATTTTGTGGAGAAATGAGGATGGACACAGAATGATAGAATTCTATACCATCAATGATTTACTCATTGCAAATATTTTTTATAAGAAATATAAATGCAGGGAAGCTCTGGTGGGCTACTGGCAAGAAACTGCACTGCAACCCCAGAGGAATGCGGTTCAAATCCACCAGATGCTCTGCTGGAAAATGAGGGGCAATCTCCTCCTGTACCTGTCAGATCTGATTTGATGGTACACACACACACACACACACACACACGCAAAAAAAATTTTTTTAAAAAGAAATATAAATGTAGACTATATACATGGATTTTATTTGATGGTATGCATAAGAATCAGATCAATTAGATCTGTGGGAAGAATCTCTGGAGAGCTCAGTATTAGCTGTGAAAACTAAGGCCAGATGCTGATTGTGGACCACCAAATGCTCATGTGCAAGTTCAAACTGAAGCTAAAAAAAGTTAAATCAAATCCACAAACCAAAATTTGACCTTGAGTCTATCCAACCTGAATTTCAAAATCATCTCAGGAATAGATTTGAGATCTTGAACACTAATGAGCAAATACCTGATAAGCTGTGGGAGGATATCAAGAATATCTGTGAAGAACGCAAAATATCATTACAAAAACAGAGGAGAAAGGAAAGACAAAGATGAATATCAGATGAGACTGAATATTGCACCAGAGCAGCACGAAGCCAAAGTAAAGGGAATAAATCAAGAAATTAAGGAGCTGAACAGAAGATTTCAAAGGGCAGCACAGGAAGACAAAGTATTATACACAGTCACTGTAGCAAATGGAATCAGCTGACACAGAAAAATTTTGTGAAACAAAGTTATGAGCAAGAGCCTGTAGTGATGAAGGAAGAAGTTCAAGCTGCTCTGAAGGAACTGGTGTAAAACTAGGCCCCAGGAATTCATGGCATACCAATTGACATATTGACATATTGACCAATTAACAAATTGACAAACAGACGCTGCCCAAGATGTGCTCATCAAGTTGTGCCAAGAAATCCATGGGGACAACCACCTTGCCAACTGACTGAAAGTGAACCATATTTATTCCCATTCCAAAGAAAGGTAATCAACAGAGTGCAAAAATTATCAAATAATATCATTAATATCACATGCAAGCAAGATTCTGCTGAAAAATTATCCAAAACTGACTGGAACAGCACATAAAAATAGAATTGCCAAAGATGTGCAGATTGGGTTTAGAAGAGGCGGTGGTACTAGGGATATTATAGCTAATGTTCAATGGATCTTGGCTGAAAGCAGAGAGTAACAGAGGAATGTCTTATTGACTGTGCAAAGGTATTTGACTGCGTGGATCACAACAAATTATGGCTAACTCTGAGAAGAATGGGAATCCCAGAACACTTGATTGAGCTTTGTGAAACTTATACTTGGACTGGGAGGCAATCATCAAAACAAAAAAAGGAAACACTACATGGTTCAAAATTGGGAAGAGTGTATGCCAGAGATGTGTCCCATCTCCATACTTTTTCAATCTATCTGCAGGGCTCTATGAGGAGGAATGTGAGGATTGGAGACTCATCAACATCTTGCATTATGCAGATGACACAACCCTGCTTGCTGAAACTGGGGAGGACCTGAAGTGCTTGCTGTAGAAGGTCAAGAACTGCAGCCTTCAATATGGATTGAAGCTCCATATGAAGAAAACAAGGATTCTCACCACTGGGCCAAATGACAGCATCATGATAGATGATGAAGGGATTGAGATTGGGGACAGCTTCCGTTTGCTTGGCTCTACATTCAACAATTTTGGTACCAGCAGCCAGGAAACTTAAAGACAAATTGCATTGGGAAGTCTGCTGTCAGAGACCTCTCCAAAGTACTTAAGAGCAACGATGTCAGTCTGGAGACTAAGGTGTGCCCGATACAGGCCATGGTCTTTGCAATTACTTGCTATGCATCAGAGAGGTAGACAATGGCTAGAAATGGTAGGAGAGTTGATACTTTTGAGCTGAGGTGCTGGAGAAAAGTATTGAATATACCATGGACTTCTAGGAGAACAAACAAGTTCATTCTGGAGTGGGTGAATCCAGGCTACTCCTTGGAGGCAAGGGTTCTGAAGCTTTGTCTGACATACTTTGGGCATGTTGCAATGGACACGTAGAATTTGCCAGAGGACACATGTTGGAGAGGGACATCATTCTTGGGAGGGTGGAGGAACAGCACAGGAGGGGAAGACCCTTGATGAGATGGATTGATTCAGTCACTGGGGTAATGGGATAGGTGTGATGGAGACAATAAGATTGGCAAGGGATAGAGCAAGGTTTAGGGCTGTTGTAGATAGGGTAGGTAAAAGTCGCAGGGGACTCAACGGCATGTAACAGCAACAACAAACATTATTTCTTTCAGTCTATTGTGGTCAGAGAGTATTATTTTATTTATTTACATTTACATATATATATATTTGGTTTTCTGTTAGATATAGTTGGCTCTTTGGATCTTGCTTTTTCTATCAAACTCAACAATATCTACCTTTCAATTGGCATGTTTATATAGTTGTCATTGTTGTTGTTGCTGAGTACTATCAAGCTGGCACAGACTCATTGTTGACCTTCCAGTGGGTTTTCAGAGGCAATAAACCCCATGGGAGGATATTGCCCACCTTTCTTCCACGTTACAGTTAGTGGATTCAAACCATGTACTTTTGGGTTGGCAGCATGCCTCTGTACTACTAAGCCACCATGTTTATAGTGCTTAAATTTAATATAATAATAAATAGAATTTGCCTTAAATCTGTGATTTTGGTATTTTTCCTATCCCATTTTTGCTCCTTCTTTATCCTCACTATATTTTTGAATGGAGTATTTATCACAATTTCATTTCCCCTCACAATTGGCTTGTTAGTTATGCTTCTGTTCTATTTGTTTTGTTATTGATTGCTCTAGCCCAGCAGTTCTCAAAGAGTATCTCAAGGTCTCCAAGATTTAAACTGATTTACAGTTGATAATAGTAATGTCTGCCTCATTCATTCATATTGTCTCATGAGAACAGAGTAGAATACAGTATGGTACAGAGTGCCTGTTAGAATTTGCCAGAGGACACACGACATATAATGTTGCAAAGAATAAGTGTAAGCACAGAGACTCTGTCTATCTGTTTGCAATAACATATAATAATGTCACTATTCTCCATATTGGTTTGGATAAAAAGATTTTGTCACAAAAATGCTAAGGAATATTTGTCCTCTAAGAGCAACATACCCAAAGTATGTGAGATGAAGTTTTATCATTCTTGCCTCCAAGAAGCACTCTGGTTGCACTTTCTCCAAGACCTATCTGTGAGTTTTTTTGGCGGTCAGTAGAATATTCAATACTCTTCTCCAGCACAACTCAAAGGTGGTGATTCTTCTCAAGCAAAGTGTTGCTGAGCACTACTTTGTCCAGAGTAAAGTGTAATTCCTCTTTTTAAGTCACTAGAACCCATACAAATTCTTAAAAGACTGTGAGCAACTTTAAGAAAGAACTTATTAGGGCATTGCACATGAGAAAGATATGATTTTTAAAAAAGAATTTCAAATACTCAGAGTGTCATAAATTTTTCTTGGCTCATAGAGATAAAGGGAGCTCTGGTGACCTACTATTAATTAAGAAGATGCACTGCAATTCCCAAGGAACATAGTTCTAATCCCATGTTCTGTGGGAGAAATATGGTCAGTCTCCTCCCTTCCAATTAATTGCCTCTGAAAAACTGCCAAAGAGTCAGCTTTGAATCACTTCTGACTCAATGGTACATGACAACAACAGACAGACAAAACATAATTAGTGCATTACACATTTTTCAAATTGTGTCACTGCATTGGCAAATTTATTTGATATCACTGATTTAGGAGTCTGAAAATAAGACAACAAACTGTTTTTTAGATTCATGTCAAACATAAAAAGAGCATTAATTAAAGTAGGGACCATATGGAAGTATGTAATTATAGTATAATTGCATAAAAATTAGTGAGAATATTTCATCCCAAGAAATGATAGTCAAAGAAATTGTATTTTAAATTCATTTACCTGGCCTGAAAAGTTACTGCTAGCATCAGCTGAAATAAGCACACCATCTTTATCCTTTTGAAATCCACTGTGTGACCAATAGGCCAGATCAAAAGTAAAAGTCTTCACATTCTCTGGATTCTTAGGGTCCTGTATAGCAGTGGTGGTCTTAGAATGCATGGAAATGACACATTTGCTTCCAGAATTCTTCTCTCTCTGTGGTCAAACAATAAATTAAAAGTCAATCATTGATGTCATTTTGACCTTCTCAATACACAGTCACTTGACTTCCCTCTCAGACCATGCAATAAAGTCTTGTTTGTTTCTTGGGACCAGCTTCTTTCTTCCTCTCTCTCACTCTCAATTATTTTTTCTAACATATAGTTTCCTGACTGAAAATTGACTTGACTAGGAAGAACGCCCAGTTACAGGCTGAAACCGTCTCTCTTCTTCACAACTGGCCAAGAAGGAGAGCAAACCCACTTTCTGAGCTCACTAACAGCTAAATAGCAGCAGGAATCAACCTGTAGCACAGCTGTCCTCTAAGGGAGAGGGGCTCTTTGCAGCCTCATTGCTATGTGAGCAGGGCAGGAGTCGGCCTAGATTCCTCACTGATGTGGCTTGTACCCTCTGGAATAGACCAGACTTCTACTTTTCTGTCTTTTCTGTCCCTCCTCTCAACTTTCCTACTGGTCCCTTAGGTTGAAGGCCATTTGCCATTAGAATCAATGACATCCAACATAAGCCTCAATTCTTAACTGCCTAATGGATTGGAATGAAGGAAGAATTTTGCAGTTGCCCCAGGCCTGATCACTTCTTGAAGAAAACTGTTAGTCCTCTATGTTAGTCCTCATAGAGCTCTGGGTCTGATCACAAAAGCCCTCACCAAATTACCAAGCAAATTTTGAACAAAACACCATCTTCCCTAGTCTTTCCTAAACCCGCCTATGAAATGGAATTGTCCTTGACTGCCTTCATGCCATTTTGACCTTCTCCACATGTGTTCACTTGGTGTCTCCCTCTCAGATAAGGCAATAAAACCTTGTTTGTTTCTCAGGTGTGGCAGGAGGAGGGATGTCAATCACTATACTTTTTTTCTTCATCCATGCTAATTGTTTCATGAGTCTTTTTACCTAGTTAAAAAAATTAAGCCAGGAATTCATCACTCATTTTATTTTCTAAATGTGTCATTCTTTAGCTATTGTCTTTTTATTTTCTAAATGTGTCATTCTTTAGCTACTGTTATAATAAGTAGTTGTTCTTCTATTCCCCTAGGATTTCTGAAAGTTTTATCTGTAGAGATAATCATTTTTGAGAACAGCCTATTCCCTAATGCACAACTTATAACATTAATATTAAGAACAAAAGCTATGTAGAAATCAACTTCTGGAATGACAATATCAAAGATTCTTCTGCCTTGTTCCTGTGAGAGTGGTGACAATTTTTTTATTACCATCACAGTGAAGTTCGTTCTGTGTAATGAAGTACATTGCAAGCCAAGCCCTGATTGTTGCCTTATGGCCAGTGGCAGAAAAGAGTCGGAGTACAACTACTTGTTCAATGAGATGGTTACCTCCTGGTGCATGCTTCAAGTGGGCCAAATGTTGCCCTAACCCCTGCCCTTCAAAACAGCCTTGCTCTATCTGTGGGACTCTGTGTCATTGGAAGGTTGATTGCTTTTCATCACCTAGCCACAGTGAGGCAGCCCCTCCACCAAACCTTGTCCCCAACCTGGCCAAGCTCATAGGCCTGGCCACTGAAGACTTGACGATGCCCAGGCTCTACAACCCCTATCACCCTTGCCAAGCTTAGAGTAACCCTTCAAGTAGTGGGTATTTACGTTGCCTTTCTGGTTGACCCAGGGGTTAACTTTAGAGCTTCCTTCCTTCGTGGGTCCTGTTGTCCCTTCCCAGGTCTCAGTAAATGGGATTAATGACCTCCCAAGCCTCTTACCACTCAACCTCTCCTCCTTAACCTTAACACAGAAGTACTCACCCATTCCTTTCTAATTATCCCTACATGCCCAACTCCATTGTTAAGTAGATACTTAGGGCTGTATTTTGCTAGGAGTCAAGCAGACCCAGTTAGCCTGACCAGCCTTTATTTCTATCCCTCTTAGTGCTCCTTCCCTCCAAGTACCTTCCTATACTACCTCTATTACCAGATGTTGTCAACCCCGCTGTATGGGATCTTTTCATTCTATATATAGCCTCTCACCACCAACCTATTCTTGTTACTCTGAAGAGCCCCTCCTTTTTTTGCTGCTAGACCTCAATTTCCTATCTTCACACAAAACCAAAAAGGCTTGAAACCCGTCATTACTTGCTTACTTTCCAATAAGCTGCTTATTCCCACAAACTCTCTGTGTAAAACAACAATCCTGCCAGTTAAAAAAGCTGATACATCTTACCACCTTGTTCAGGATTTATGACTGATTAATGCAGCCGCTATATGTTATAGTAGTAACAAGACTGGTAGAAGAAAACGTCTTTAAATTGACAAATTAACTGAAGAATTAAAAAATAGACAAAAACCCCATGAATTTTCTCCCCAAATAGCTCAAGAACTCATTTCTTTTTTCTTTTTCTTTTTTTTATTATTATTAAATTTTATTAGTTTTAATGAACATTTACAGGGATTTTGGGTTTTCATTCCTTCATTGCTGCACCATTCTCTCTACCCTCCTCCCCAGTATGTTCTTCTTCCCCGCCATCCGAATGTC